AGCTCTGGCTGTTGCAGTCTTCTGGGGAGTAACCAGCAGATGGAAGACCTCTCTCTCTGTCTCTACCTCTCCCTGTTAACTCTGACTTTCAAATAAAATAAATCTTTAAGAAAAAAAAAAGGTGGAGAGAGATAATTTTTTTTTTTTTTGAGTCTCTGAGGGTAGGTCTATGTCTAGAACGCAAAAAATAAATATCTCTTTCAGGCTTCCTTGTTAGAGTTTAACAAGTGCATTCAAGAATTAGATTGTCTACAATTATGCAGTTAGGAAGGCTGCAAAGCTGGTTTTAAACCCAGGACTGCCTGGCGCCCAAGCCTGTGTGCTCCAGGCAATATTTTCAGTTGATGGTTAAGTGCCAGATATTTGAAGTTGGTCAAATATTAACAGAAAGAAAGGATATGAAGTACATATGACCAAAACAGACAGAACTACTATATATAACTCGCCCAACAAAGCCCTCATGTCCAAAGTGTGAGGAAGAGTAAAACTGCTTGTGATTTCCATAAAAACGTTTTATTTCTCTTAGAGTAAATCACTGTAACTAATAATGCGAGTGTAAGTATCTTCATTTGATTTAAGCAATCTGATACGGAAGGCTGTGGCGTGACTGCCAGTGAGTCACAACTGACAAACCTAGGGTGGTTCCACCTCTACCACTCTCCTGACCCATGTGCTCATCACCGGTGGAATGGCTCATTTAAGCTTCATTATGATACCATTTAAGTAAGTATAATAAAATCTGCTGTAAATATAGGAGAAAAATACAAAGACACTCACACACATATGGTTCTCCAAAGATCTACCGACTTCTATTGCCTATTCTTCAAGTTCTCAGGCAACACTTAAAAGCTAAAGTTCAAGGGGTGCCGGCGCTATTGCGTAGCCAGTAAAGCCACTGGTTGGAGTGCCAGCATCCCATATGGGCACCAGTTCGAGTCCCGGTTGCTCCACTTCCAATCCAGCTCTCGGCTATGGCTTGGGAAAGCAGTAGAAGATGGCCCAAGTCCTTGGGCCCCTCCACCCACGTGGGAGACCTGGAAGCAGCTCCTGGCTCCTGGCTTCGGATTGGCACAGCTCAAGCCGTTGTGGCCAATTGGGGAGTGAAGTAGCGGATGGAAGACCTCTCTCTCTCTCTCTCTGCTTCTCCTTTCTCTGTATAATTCTGACTTTCAAATAAATAAACACATCTTAATAAAAAAAAGTTAAAGTTCAAAATTGCAAAAGGCCCAGTTAGTGACTATGATCAACTAGAAGTAGGCATTATTAAGTAAAGTATATGTAAGAAAGACTTGGTTACTAAGGACCACCCTTCTAAGTGGATCTTGTGTATCATGGAAAGTATCAAAATAACCTTTCAGATTGGTTGAGAATAAAAATAGCTGGAACATTATAGATCTAACTGATGATATATGATTACAGTTTTTATTAGGTGCAAATTAATGTACTTAAAGTTCTCTGTACTTAAGGGGGAATGAAAACAAAGCAAGTTCAAGAAGTTAGAAAAGGAACAGCACAATGAATCTAAAGAAGGAACCAGAAAGTAATAAATAACAAAATCACAGTTAATACATTAGAATGTATGTGCATTTTTAAAATAGCAGAATCAATAAATTGAAGGTTGATTCTCTGAGAGAAAAAAGGCCAAATCTATATTTAGCCCAATAGAAAAATGATAATTTTAAAAATGCAGTAAGTTGGACTTAATGATCTTTCTCTAATTTTTTTTTTATTTTTTAAAATTTTTTTTGACAGGCAGAGTGGACAGTGAGAGAGAGAGAGACAGAGAGAAAGGTCTTCCTTTTGCCGTTGGTTCACCCTCCAATGGCCGAATTTTTTTTAAAAGCTTTTATTTATTTATTTGAGAGATATGAAAAGAGTTATAAGAAAAGAGTTACAGTGAGAGGGAGAGACAGAGAAAGGTCTTCTATCAGCTGATTCACTCCCCAAATGGCGCAAAGGCCAGAGCTGTGCTGATCTGAAGCCAGGAGCCAGGAGTTTTCCATGTGAATGCAGGGGCCCAAGTGTCTAGGTCATTTTCCACTGCTTTCCCAGGCCATAGCAGACAGCTGGATTAGAAGAGGAGCAGCCAGGAATAGAACTGTTACTCATATGGGATGCTGCTGCCGCAGGCGGAGAAGTAACCTACTGAGCCCCAGCCTCGGCCCTGATCTTTCTCTAATTATAGAAGTAATATATGTTCAATGATAAAAACTAGAAAATAAAGTGTTGATGTTGACCTTGGGTACAACATAAATAAGAACCATTCATAGTTTGACTCCCATTTTCTGTATAACACATTAAAAATTAATTTATGTTTCTCCCACAGTATTATCACCCCTTACCCACTGTATCCCCAGTCTCTCATCATCTAAGACTGTTCAGCTTAGAAATATAATTAGGAAGTTATTTCCAATATTTTTCTGGACTAACATGTATATTTGGAACTTCAGACTTATAATCCACTACTAAAATGTTCATGCCTGGATAACTACTGAAACTCCTGGCTCCAGTCTCCACACTTTGGTCCACGCGGTGCACTATCCATCAGCAGCTCAAGGTTGAGCCATGCAGTGACGGAATTTTGGGCTGTGGGGTCTCGGCTGAACATTCACACTTCTCCGCCCTCTTTCCTCTGGTTTTCCAGTTTCCCACTGCTGTCTTCTGTTGTCCACAGTCAAAAGAAAGTCAGAGGCCCAAGAAGCCTGGATGGTGAATCTTTCATCTTCACAGGTCGGCTGCTGTAAGGTGGATGATCTTGGAGGTGGCTGGAGGGCCAGCTGGAGAAGACCCCACATGCTAGTTGTCCCCTTCGCCTCTTTCTGCTTCCTCAAGGTAATATGGCCACACTGAGTTTCCTGGTGCTTCTCAGTCCTGGTCTTTCCATCTGTATTATTTTTTCTGGCAAGAATTCCCTTTTTTTTTTTTTTCTGGAAAACTCCTACATGTTCTTCATGATCCAACTGAAATAGCACCACTCTCTTCCATTCACCACATGCAGAGATAGCAGTATTCAAGAAGGGCACAGTTACACAGAAGACCAGGTTCTCAATATGCCATTTCCTAGTTGATGTGACCTTAGGGGGACTGGTGTATTTCTTTGATTTTTTTTTTTTTGACAGGCAGAGTGGACAGTGTGAGAGAGAGACAGAGAGAAAGGTCTTCCTTTGCCGTTGGCTCACCCTCCAATGGCCACCGTGGCCTGCGCGCACCACGCTGATCCGAAGGCAGGAGCCAGGTGCTTATCCTGGTCTCCCATGGGGTATAGGGCCCAAACAATTGGGCCATCCCCCACTGCACTCTAGGCCATAGCAGAGAGCTGGCCTGGAAGAGGGGCAACCAGGACAGAATCCGGTGCCCTGACCGGGATTAGAACCCGGTGTGCCGGCGCTGCAAGGTGGAGGATTAGCCTAGTGAGCCGCGGCGCCGGCGCCTGATTTTTATTTAAAGATTTATTTATTTATTTGCAAATCAGAGTTACACAGAGAGAGTAGAGGCAGAGAGAGAGAGAGAGAGAGAGAGAGAGAGAGGTCTTCCATCCAATGGTTCACTCCCCAATTGACTGCAACGGCTCGAGCTGTGCCAATCCAGAGCCTGGAGCTTCTTCTGGGTCTCCCACGCAGGTGCAGGGGCCCAAGGACTTGGGCCATCTTCTGCTTTCCCAGGCCATAGCAGAGAGCTGGATTGGAAGTGGAGCAGCCGGGTCTTGAACCAGTGCCCATTTGGGATGCCAGCGCTTCAGGCCAGGGCATTAACCTGCTGCACCACAGTGCCGGCCCCCTTCTCTGATTTTAAATCAAGTGAGGGACAGGTTCTGGCACAGTGGGTTAAGTTGCCACTTGTGACGCCAGCATCCCACATCTGCTAACATGCCAGGGGAAGCAGTGGATGATACTCCAAGTATTTGGGCCCGTGCACACACATGGGAGGCTTGGATGGAGTTCTAGGCTTCTGACTTCAGCCTGGCCCAGCTCTGTCCATTGCAGCCAGGTGGGGAGAGAACCAGTGAATGGAAGATCTGTCTCTTTCTCAGCCTCTCCTTCTCTGGCACTCCACCCTTTCAATTAAATAAATAAATATTTAAAAGGAGTGAAATAAACCAGACATAAAAAGACAAATCCTGCACGTTCTCACACTGGACGTTCCAAGTGACCATTATGTGTACAGTCAATCCAAACTGAAAAGAGTGATTTCTAGAAGGGCTGGGGGAGGGGGGAGGTTGGATAATGGGCACTAAAACACAGTGGGGTGAACCTAACAGCTTCCAGTGTTCTGCAGCACTGTGGGGTGCCCGGGGTTCACCGGTATGATATTCTACAGAAAGAACTGGAACAGAGGCGCCGGCAGGCTCCAAACACAGGAAAAGATGCAGAAATGGGAGCCGGGTGTCTGGTTGAAGCCGTGCCTCTGTGTCGACACGGTGCACTGTGGTTATTCAGAGTGAACGCAGAATTGAAGACGAGGGTGTCTGCTTTGACATGGATCGGCGGGACAAAACGCTCTCTCCAGGGCAAGGCCACTACTTCGCCAAATTCAGTTTTGTTGTTGATGTTACGTGTCTCAGAGCTTTTCCCCCCTATTTGTTCCACTCCACCGGTGCGCAGGACAACAAAGGCCAACCTTGGCGGCGTTAAGCTGCAGTCATTCAGGGCGTCCCCCGCTGCTCCCTTTCCCGACTCGGTGTCCGCTTATACCGGAGTGCAGGCACCCGAGGACGTAACCTGACCTCAGCTAAGCAGGGCAGGTCATTCAGTCGCCGGGGACAACCCCACAGAACACAGCATCAACCTGCGGCCCCGGGCTAACGTTCTGGGAGCGGGCAGGCACAGAACCGAACCCCCGCAGCCCGCCCCGGAGCCCGCGCCGGAGCCCGCGCCTGCACGCCGGAACCTCAGGCGGGACGCCGCGGGGGCGAGTCCGGAACTGCGTGCAGGGAGCACCACTGCGCACGGACTACAACTCCCGACGTGCGAGGCGGCCGCAGCTAGCGCTAACCCCCTGCTTGCCTCTTACTACACAGACCGCCAAGTTTAGGAACTGCATAGAAGTGCTTCTAAAAAATGCAGTCAGCGTCTCCGGGGACGCGAGGCCTGCTCTACCTCGCTGAATGTCCCCTTTTGTGTGTGTGTGTTTTTGGGTGGTTAGCCGCGGAACCACCGTCGCGCCGGCAGAGTTTCCGGGGGGGACATAAATTGTTGCCGGACGCTGAGGCGCGGCAGTTTAATTCTCCGGTGGCGGCAGAGTGAAGGGGAAGAGATGGTGTTGACCGGGCTCATCAGGAAACTCGGTAACAGTCTGGAGACGCCCCTCGCCCGAGGCGCGGTTTCGTCGAGGCCGCTGGCCGAGAGGGGTCCTGTCAGGGTTCCCTCTTTGTCGTCCGCGCTGGGCCAGAGCAGTCCCGGGGGGACCCCTGGGGTGCTCGGTGTGAGCTGGGTGGTTAGCGTCCCGAAGGCCTGGCTCCTGGGTGACGGAGCGCTGTGGGGGCCCCCTTCCTCGTCAGGTCACCAGCTGGCGGAGATCCGGGAGCGCGCGCTGCGGAGCATCCTGTGCAAGGTGGAGCACGGCCTGGTCGGCTACGCGGACCTCGTTCACGAGCGGCTGCTCTTCCTGCACCTGCTGGAGTGGTTCAACTTCCCCGCCGTGCCGCTGCGGGCCGAGGTGCTCAGCTTGCTCGGCAGGCTGGTGGAGGTAGGGCAGGCCTTGAAGTGCGGAGGGGCCGGTGGTCGGAGCTGAGCGACCGGAGCCGGCGGGGGTCGGGCCGTTCTCTCACTCGTGGCGTCGGGTCTCGCGTGGTTGCCGCCGGGCCGGGGGTGAGCTCGGAGCCACTTCGGAGCCCAGCGCTGCCCTAGATGCTTGGAGGCCTCTTCGCCGGTTGGCATTTGCCACTCTCTGTTTATTTTCCGGTATCTGCGTGTTGAGCGTTCACATGGTGTTCTGCACGAAAGAGCGCCCATTATAAGAACAGCGGCGTGGCAGGGCGTGGTTAATTAATCCCGCAGGTTTGGTGTTAGTTTTGTTTAACGCTGTGGTCCTGTGCAGGTACCAGGAGTTCCTCGTTAGGGTCAGAGGTCAAAGCATCAGCTTCAGCTTCCAAGCCCGTCAATGTGGTGGGAGGTTGACTGGGGGCAGGGGAGGAAAGAGGCGAGGGCCGGTGGGGAAGGGAACCCACGTAGTGAAGGCAGAGAGCGAGGTGTGCATTTCTGGGACCACCGCTGTGTCACGGAGCCCTCCCTAAAGGTCCTGCTCACGGACGCTGTGAAGGCCGCACTCACGCAGGGTTTGTTTTTCCCGAGAGGGGCGCCCGGTACGCAGCGGTAAGTTCACGTCCCGACCGCTGCTGTCCAGTGTGCGGACTTCGGTCCCCGCCGCGACGCCCAGCGCTGCCCTCTCGTTTCAGTTTCCGGCTGCGGTCCAGCATCTGGTCGACCTCGGCGCAGTGGAGTTCCTGTCCACGCTTCGTCCTCATGTGGAGCCCAGTCTACAGGCTGAAATCGATGGCATTCTGGATGGGCTTTTTAGTCTTCCCGCGGAAGCTCCTGCGCTGTGTGCTGCCGCTTACCAAACCAATGACACTGGTAACTCTTTGGGAGTCAGTTTGTGGAGGCTGTCAGAGTAGAATACTTTGGTTGTCATGGTAAATGTTCGGGAAACAGGCATTAGAGTAAGAGGAAAATTTCTTCCACCCTTCCCAAACTAATTTTGCTTATGTTACCTGTCTGTGACATCCCTCTCCCCGGCGCTGTTATTCAGAGGATACATTTGTATTTATTGCTTTGTGGTCATGCTTAAAAGATGCCAGTGAGGTTGTTTTGTGTGTTACTAGTTTGATAGTTATTTCTTTAACACTAACAACAGACTTCTCACCAAGCATTCGTTACGGGTCCCAGTGTTCCACTGAATGCTTTGTTATCTGCCCCGGTTTGTTTCTGTTGTGGAGACAGGTTAAAGTGATGTGAGGCGAGTGTTTTATGCTGTAGTACACAGCATGGATTTAAGGCCCAGTTCTGCTGCTAGTTGTGTGACTTTGGGTAAGGTACCCAATCCCTCCAGACTTCAGGGTTCAAATCCCAAAATTAGGATACTGTGAAAAGATGGAATTCTCATAGGATTGTTATGAGGCTTAAAAGCGACAGCCCATAGGCCTAGAGTGTATCAGTGCAGTCATGTTAGCTGCCCCTTCTGTGTTCTTGCTGTTATTTAATTTTAATGTGCAGTAGAGTGGCGTGTATATGCAAGGCATTTGAACAGATTCGAAGCAATACAGTGCTCATGCAGTTTACATGATTGAGTGAGAATTGTTTTGACTGCTTAATCTGTTAAATCATATTTTTCTTTTTTTTTTTTTTTAAGATTTATTTATTTATTTGAAAGAGTTACACAGAGAGAGAAGAGAGGCAGAGAGAGACAGAGAGAGGTCTTCCATCCCCACTTGGCTGCAACATCCAGGGATGAGCCGATCTGAAGCCGGAAGCCAGGGCTTCCTCTGGGTGTCCCAGGCAGGTGCAGGGGCCCAAGGATCTGGGCCATCTTCCACTGCTTTCCCAGGCCATAGCAGAGAGCTGGATGGGAAGTAGAGCAGCCAGGTCTTGAACTGGCATATGGGATGCTGGCACTGCAGGCGGTGGCCTACCCCGCTACGCCACAGTGCCAGCCCCCACATTTTTCTTTATACTTCTGCAGGACTGCTGCTGCTTCAGCTGTCACTGCTATTGTTAACAGCAACAAGAAGCTCAACAGCTTACGCCAGCTGTTGAATTTTCTTGTGGGGACACTGAAATAATCAATTTAAACACATTGTTTCATTCATTTTAAGGCTGTCCTTTGAGATGCTATTAATCTTAGAGATGAGAATAGAAATATAAGGTAACTTAATCAAAATTACTTTGTTTTCTAATCTGAGGCAGAGCCAGGATTCTAACTTTGCTTTGTCTGGCACCAAAACCTGTGTGATTTCTAAGTTCTTTTTATGATTTCTTTTTTTAAGATTTATTTATTTATTTGAAAGGCAGAGCTACAGAGAGGGCAGAGGTAGAGAGCGAGAGAGAGGTCTTCCATCTGCTGGTCTACTCCCTACATGGCCGCAATGGCTGGAGCTGGGCTCATCCAAAGCTAGGAGCCAGGAGTTTGTTCCAGGTCTGCCACATGGGTTCAGGGGCCCAAGGACTTGGAACATCTGCTGCTGCTTTCCCAGGCCACAGCAGATAGTTGGATTGGAAGTGGAACAGCCGGGACTTGAACCAGTGCCTATACGGGATGCCGGCACTGCAGGTGGCAGCTTTACCAGCTACGCCATAGCTCTGGCCCCCTGTTTTTTGGTTTCTAAGCTATTACAAATAACTGTGAATTTTCACAGAATTTCTTACAGGTAAGGTTAGCAAAATGTTCTGCTGGGTGTCTGTGTTAATGTTAGGATTTTCTGGCATGATAACTTCCAGCATAAAATCAGATTTTAGCCTTTTATCATTCTTATTGTAACTGAAGTGCTAAATATGTCTTGAAAGATGATGTTTGACTCTTCTGTTTTGGACAAGTTGTTTTAAGGTACTAATGAATATTGGTAGGGACTACCTGAGGAGAGCAGAAGGCAGGAGAAGGCTGGACTAAGGAGCGTGTGTGAACAGCCCTCGACTGCTTCATTGCAGATGCTTCCTGGCTGTCAGACGTTTTCGTTCTGATACATATTGTGTTTGCTTAACAGTAAGAGAGAGAGAGGAGAAACAACCCCTCAATTGGAAATTGGTTTAACATTCACATTTCCCCCCACTTTAGTGAAGATAGTCCATTTGGAGAAAAAATAACTTTTTTTTTGTTTATTTTGTTTTTAAAATGATTCAGAAACTTAAAACATTACTATTTTGGAAGAGTAAGTTTCACTGTTAACAGATAATGAGACAATAATAAAGTAATACGTAAACATATATATATTCTTTTCAGAAATGTCACAACAGCCTGTAACCTTAACAGGATATTTTCCCCAAGACAAAAGTAATTTCCAGCAGATGGAAGGGCCTTCACGACCAATAGGTGTGTATGTGTAGGGACGTAAGACCTGTTAACCTGGTAAGTCAAAAATTAATATACTTTCCCTCATTGCTGTGAAGACATTGTGGTCAAACTTCAGTGCTTTAGCACCAAAATAAATTCTTCTGTTGCCACAAATTAGTTCAGGATGGAGAATATACAATGGTAAAAGCTCATGTTATTCTAACTGTATTCTTGTTTAAAGATTTATTTGTTTATTTGAAAGGCAGAGTTACAGAGAGGCAGAGGCAAAGAGAGAGAGGTCTTCTATATGCTGGTTCACTCCTCAAATGGCTGCAACAGCTAAAGCTGGGCTGATCTGAAGCCAGGAGCCTGGAGCTTCTTCTGGGTCTCCCATCTGGGTGCAGGGGCCCAAGGACTTAGTCCATCTTCCACTGCTTTCCCCAGGCCACAGCAGAGAGTTGGATCAGAAGTGGAGCAGCTGGGACTCGAACTGGCTGCTCATATGGGATGCTGGCACTATAGGAGGTAGCCTTACCCGCTGCACCACAGCACAGCACTGGCCCCTCTAACTGTATTTGATGGCAGTAGTACTTAGTGCTTATTGAATGTAAATTCCTTGTCAGGCATTGTGCCGGCCATTATGCATGTGTCATCTCAAGTTTTCTTTAGCTCAATAACTGGTGCCTTGTATCCAGGGACTCCAACCTGAGATCAGGTTCATCGTAGTTTCTTGTTTTGCTATTTTCTCAACATCCAGTTGCTACGGAGGCCCTTCCAGGAATTTTATCTGTAGGTCTTTGTGTATCTGGCTATGTCTGGTCTCTGGGGCCCACATGCCAGTTCCAAAGAGACCTGACTGATGGTTCTAATCAGTGACCAGTTTCTTTATTTAGACTTCTTCCTAACACATCACATGCTCTGAAATTATTTATTTCTTGTGTATCTCCATTATTGAATGTACAGTAAAGGCTGTGGCCACTGCTTTTATACCCAGTGTCTGGATGCATTAGGCACTCAGTAGCTAGTCTTTGAAGGAATGAATGAATCTTCCTGGAGTCTTGGTGAGATTAGTGTTATTATCATCTCCATGTTTTTGATGAGGTCACTGAGACTTAGTGAGGTTAAAGACCTGGTCCTGGCTGGCACCGTGGCTCACTAGGCTAATCCTCCACTTTGCGGCGCCGGCACACCGGGTTCTAGTCCCGGCCAGGGCACCGGATTCTGTCCCAGTTGCCCCTCTTCCAGGCCAGCTCTCTGCTGTGGCCCGGGAGTGCTGTGGAGGATGGCCCAAGTGCTTGGGCCCTGCACCCCATGGGAGACCAGGAGAAGTACTTGGCTCCTGCCATCGGATCAGTGCGGTGCGCCAGCCGCAGCGTGCCGGCCGTGGCGGCCATTGGAGGGTGAACCAACGGCAAAAGAAGACCTTTCTCTCTGTCTTTCTCTCTCACTGTCTGCTCTGCCTGTCCAAAAAAAAAAAAAAAAAAAAAAAAAAAAGACCTGGTCCTGTAGGCAGCTCATGTTGAGAGCCTCGGGTGGTCACTGACGTCATCCATAAAAGTGTCAATTGTTAAATTAACAACAGGAGTCACTGTACACTAACTCCACATGTAGGATGTTTGTCCTCAATGAGTTGTATTGTGAGAGTTAACTGTAAAACTAGTTCTCAAACAGTTTGTGTGTGTGTGTGCAAATTGTTGAAACCTTTACTTAGTATAGAGTTGGTCTTCTGTGTACAAAGTTAATTGAAAATAAACCGTAATGGAGAATGGGACTGGGAAGGGGAGAGGGAGGAGGAGGAAAGTTGGGAGGGCGGGTGTGATGGGAAGAATAACTCTATTCCTAATGTTGTAGTTATGAAATTTATATTACTTAAAATATAAATTAACTAAAAACAAACAAACAAACAAAAAAAAAAACACGTGGTTCCAGGGAAAGCAGTTAGGAAATGGTTAAGTAACCATTAAGTATGTACTCAACATTTTATTGCCTGCATAGTTGAGATGAAAAGTATACCCAAGAATTTATTTGCTGATGTCGGGTATTCAAATAAACTCAAATTTGGAGGCCTGTTATTAAAAAGCTTTAGTGGAAATTCATAGGATGAATAACAGAATAAGAAAGAACAGAAAACTTGTTAAGCTGTTAAAATAATTAACCCTTCTATTTTAGAAAAGTTTTGTTAGGCTGATGGGAGAATTTGTTTTTGAGGTAAGATGGTAGATTTTGTGTTTATGACCCAGTGGCTTAATTGATGACAAGACATGTAAAGGGAGTAGGGAATCTCCATGGCCTTAAGATGGGTGTTGAGTGAACCTGATGAAAGTATCAAGGTGAACTGGGATGGTTAACACAGTTTTATGCAAGTGTGTCTGAACTGATGGTGTGCTTGTTTTGGACACGTCTGTGCGTGTACAGTCTGTCCCTTCCTCCATTCGCCTCTCATAGTTGTTAGAAAGTAAGCCCTACTTTTTCTTTTTATCACTTTTGAAGAAGCAGCTGTACCATGTTTGACAATTTGATGGTATTGTTATTTGAATTTAATTATTCCATGTTTTTTTCAAAGCATTTGGTGGGAAGATCATTTGCTATTTGGAAGTTCTTATATGCCCATAGATACCATTTCTCTGTGTTGTCATGGTAACTTGTAAAATATAAGGTCTGTTAAAAAATTTGAATAGAGTTACTTTAAAATTGTGTTGGTTTCTGAGATTTCTTTCAGTCTTGTTTTTGCACTTATATTTGGTTTTCAACCTTATGGTCCTCAATTCGTCTTTATAGAGGTTTAAACATCTAATATGTACACAGTATTTTTTTTATATGGTATTTTTTATTTATTTTCTTATTTAGCAACAGCATCATGAACATTAGCAACAATATCAGTATATCCCTTCAGAATGTTCTTGCAAATTCCTGCTGGTTATCATCTTTTTTTTTTTATAGAAAGCTTTTATTTAATAAATATAAATTTCATAAGTGCAACTTTTGGATTATAGCAGTTGTATACAGTATTTGAACATGGCTAGAAATAGTATGTAATTATATTTATATCATTTTTAATTTCTAGAAGTAAAGGCTTTCTCCAAATGCTGTTTCCTTTTATGTTTAAGGTTGATGGTCTCGTCAGCCAAAGGGTAAAATTGAAACTTTAAATGTCATTCAGTATTGGTTTGTAGTTAATGCTTTTCTACTAACACTTCTTTTAATATTATATGACTTGTTTAAATTATGAAAAGAAAGAGCCTATTATTTATCCATTAGTAGAACAGATTTGCAGCTGACCTCTTTAGAATATTTTAGGTTACTGTAAGATACAGCCTTTATTTTGGGACTTGCTTTAAAGGTGAAACTTCACTTTTAACGTCAATCTGTCATCGTTTTATTCTTTGACACCTTAAGTTTTGATATTCCATTAACAGTGAATCAGAATGTGAAGTGTTTGAAGTTTTCTACTTTTCCTTGGCTACCCCTCACCACAACAGATAGACATGTTCTCTCCTCTAATGAAAGGTACAGTCTCTGATGTATTTTATTTTTGTTCCTTTATAGCCATTAAGTCTGATAGTTATTATTATCCATTTTCACCAGGAAAAGATTGAGTGGCTGTGAAAGGTAGAAGTGGCCATATATGAATGATTTCTTTTTTTTTAAGTATTTTTTTTTTTAAATTTATTTGACAGAGTTACAGTGACAGAGAGAGACAGAAAGGTCTTCCTTCCGGTGGTTCACCCCTCAAATGGCCACAACGGCTGGAACTGCGCCGATCTGAAGCCAGGAGCCAGGAGTTTCTTCCTGGTCTCCCATGCGGGTGCAGGGGCGCAAGCACCTGGGCCATCCTCCACTGCTATCCCAGGCCATAGTGGAGATCTGGACTGGAAGAGGAGCAACTGGGACTAGAACTGGCACCCATATGAGATGCTGGCACCGCAGGTGGAGGATTAACCTAGTGTGCCATGGCGCTGGTCCCCCTGAATGATTTCTAATATTTCAAAAAAGCCAGATGATTTCTATTGTCTTTTTTTTTTGAAAGATTTATTTTATTATTTTGAAAGACAGAGTTACAGAGAGAGGTAGAGGAGAAAGAGAGGTCTTCCATCCGCTGGGTCATTCCCCAGATGGCTGCAGTGGCCGGAGCTGTGCCGATCCGAAGCCAGGAACCAGGAGCTTCTTCTGGGTCTCCCAGGCGGGTGCAGGGGCCCAAGTGCATGAGCCATCCTCTGCTATCCCAGGCCGTAGCAGGGAGCTGGATCAGAAGAGGAGCAGCGGGACTAGCACCAGTGCTTCAGGCCAGCCTTTAACCAGCTGCGCCACAGCGCTGGCCCCTCTATTTATTTCTTTTTGGTAATTGGAACTTGTGAAGATCTTGGTGATGTGAAGTATTTGTTATGGACCAGATTCTCTAATTGCTTATGCCCTTGATTAATAAAAATGAAAAAGTTAAACACAAATGCCATCTTCTTTTTAGTAAAATATATACTTTAAAACGTAGGCTCTATTAGGAGAAAAATTATGCCCTATTGAGAATATTTGGGACTATTGATATAGTTTTATGAATACTAGTTGGTTATTACCTTCAAAAATAGATAGCTGATACATAGAAATTTGAGTGTTTTAATATCCAAATTCACTTTGTGCAGTTTCAATGAATGCTGCGATATATGAGCTGTTAGCCTATTTTGGATATAAATCTGGAAAATCAAGACCAACTTGCTACAGTTAGGGCTAGATACAAGTGTATGTTAGAAATTTTTTTAAAGATTTAATTATTTATTTGAAAGGCAGAGTTACAGAGAGGCAGAGGCAGAGAGAGAGGTCTTCCATCTGCTGGCTCGCTCCCCAAGTGGCTGCAAGGGTTGGAGCTGGGCTGATCCGAAGCCAGGAGCTTCCAGGTTTCCCTTGTGTGTGCAGGAGCCCAAGAACTTGAGCCATCTTTTACTGCTTTCTCAGGCTATAGCAAAGAGCTGGATTGGAAGTGGAGCAGCTGGGATTTGAGCTGGTGCCCGTGTGGGATGCTGGCGCTGCATGTGGTGGTTTTACCTGCTAAGCCACAGCGCCAACCCTATTAAAGGATTTTGATGATGGTGCTTCTAAGGCATTATTAGTAAATTGTCTTGAAACAGAATATTCAAGAAGTGGCGTGCACATGGGGAAACAGTAAGGGGTTGTTTGCTCTGCCAGATCTGAGTCCATCCCCAGTAAGAGACAGCAGTAATTTCTAGTGCACACCTCTGGGTGGGAGATGGTAGACTGGAACTGGTGTGAGAGAGGGGTTTGATTTCTTTGGGTGAGACTGAACAACTGCTAGATACCTAGCTTACCAGAAGTTGAGGGTTGTCCTATGCATGGGAGTAGGGGAGTGCTAACCTGATTCACCTCGGAGTAGGACAAATTAGAAGGAATCTATTTCCTGTGATTTACTACCATACTTACTACTATTTTTTTCTGTTATATATATTTAGCAGATGTCATTGAACCCTATAACCTTTAAACTCCTGATCTCATTTTGTAGCATTAATGTAGTCTCTAAGCATACCGTCTCTAAGCATATAAGTCCTGCTTCTGAGCAGAGTCTAGTGGGGGATACAAGCTCAACAAACATTTATGATATCTGGAAATAGAAGCATATGGAAGGGACACCTCCTTAGCTGTTGTTGGTTAGGGAAAAGACCTAGGAAGGCTTCTCAGGAGATGTGATGTTTCAGCCAAGAGCTCAATTATTGTTAGTAGTCATTATGCCTGTATATTGCTTAGAATCTGGTCTAGGTGAACTCTTTCAAAAATGAATAATATTTTATTTTGCAGCTCTTTGAGAAGTAGTAACCACACTTTAATATGGAACACTTGTGAATTATTGAAGGATGTTATCATGCAAGATTTTCCTGCTGAGATTTTCCTTCAAAGGCCAAAAATTGTTCAGGTGAGTACCTTCCATAGTAATTTCATATTTTGAAACAGAACTTTTTGCAGTAAAACAGATTTTTCACTGTAGGAATCCTTGAGAATGAAGTTTGTAGTAATACACTTTGTAAAAATGAAATATTTGATTATTTCAACTACCTTTTCTCTGACTTCTATGGTTATGGTTGTTCCGACAGGTGGTATTCTCATTAGATTTAGGTTGACCACCGTAAGTTACCATTTATGTATAACCTAAAGGGAGAATAGACTCTGAATGTTGAGGTTGGGAAGTGCTTTTATTAACAGCAAGAGTTTCATTGGTTTTTGAATATCTAGTATGTTTAAGGCATAGTGTTAGATGCTAGTGATATCGGATTTCTATAGCAGTGAGCAATAGTGGTGGATTATTTTCTCTTGTTTATTGTTTAGGCAATAGGGTAAGAGGGATGGGATTTGGGGATTGTGACATCTCCTCTGTAACTAGTAGGGCCTCAGCATTTTTGCTCCTTGCTCACAGGGCTGGGGTGGACTCCAGTGAACAGCAAATATATATACACACACACACACACACACACACACACACATATAAAGATTTTGTTTATTTATTTGAGAAGTAGAGTTACAGACAGAGGGGGACATGGAGAAAAGTCTTCCATCCACTGTGTCACTGCCCAAATAGCCACAATGGCCAGAGCTGGGCTGATCTGAAGCAAGGAGCCAGGAGCTTCTTCTAGGTCTCCCTTGTGGGTGCAGGAGCCCAAGGACTTGGGCCATTTTCTGCTACTTTCCTATGCCATAGCAGAGAGCTGAATCCGAAGAAGGCAGCCAGGACTTGAACTTGAACCCATTTGGGATCCTGATGCTGCAGGTGGAGGCTTAGCCCACTACGCCTCAGTGCCGGCCCCGAACAGCAAATATTAATACATAGTATTGCAGCTGACAAATGATTGCACAGGGGCTGGCACTGTGTTGTAGCAGGTAAAGCCACCACCTGCAGTGCTGGCATCCCATATGGGCACTGGTTCAAGTCCCAGCTGCTCCACTTCTGATCCAGCTCTATGTTATGGCCTGGGAAAACAGTGGAAGATGGCCCAAGTCTTTGGGCCCGTGCACCCATGTTGGGGACCCTAAAGAAGCTCCTGGCTCCTGGCTTCAGATCGGTGCAGCTCCGGCCATTGCGGCCATCTGGGGAGTGAAGCAGCAGATGGAAGTCTCTCTTTCTCTCTGCCTCTCATTCTCTCTCTCTGTAACTCTGATAACAGAGAGACAACTGTTAACTGCTTAAATGTTGTAAAACAATTTAGATGTTTGAGATGTAAAGGATCAGCTGTGTGTGTGTGTGCTTTGTTTTATTTACTTGAAAAGCAGAGTTACAGAGAGAGGGCGAGGTCTTTCAACTTCTGGTTCATTCCATAAGTGGCTGCAGTGGCCAGTGCTGGGGCAGGATGAAGCCAGGAGGCAGAAGCTTCTTCTGGGTCTCCCATGTAGGTACAGGAGCCCAAGCACTTGAACCATCTTTTGCTGCTTTCCCAGGCACATTAGCCGGGAGCTGTATCGTATGTGGAGTAGCTGGGACTTGAATTGGTGCCCGGGTGGGATGCTGGCACTGCAGGCAGCACCTTTACCCACTATGCTAAAGCACCAGCCCCCAGCGGTTGCTTTTTAAAAAAAGGCCTGTGAAATATATCGTCCAGAATGGGACATAATTCCTGCCCTCTCTCAGATTTTAGAAGTAAGAAACACTGCCCGTTGTATTTAAAGTGTATTGTCTCATTTTTATTAATCTTTTTCCATTATGCTAAGTCATTGTTGCCCATTTCTGTTTCTTTTGTTTTATAAAAACCTGGCACCTTATTTTATATCCTTTGACTATTCACTTACCCTTATTCTCCACATTCTTCTTTGAACTTGAGACTTTTGTCCCTTTGGTTATTTTCCCTGCCCTTTATTTCAGAGCCTTTTGTCTCTGTTGAAACTGGCCTTTGGAGGCGATGGAAAGCATCGTCTGGCATTGCAGTCGGTGTCCTGCTTGCAGCAGCTGTGTGTGTATTTAAGAAACAGACTCAACTTTCACCGAGATCCAGGTTTTTTCTGTAGTAAACAAGGTACTGGTATTTTTTATTCATTAGCCACTGGTGTTATTTGCAAATTCATGTGAGAACTCCCCATTATCCTTACTGTTAGGGGTTACCATGTGTACTTGTTCACGACATTAATTCCCCACTCCTAAATGTAATCAGATTATCATCTTTGAATACAAACTTTGAATGACAGAACCACCATGATTTCGTGCTTCTTTAATGTTTTAAAAAATGTATTTATTTTTGGAAAGGGATGTTTAGAAAGTGTTTTTCTTTTTTCTCCCACACATTTAGATTCTCTGTAAACAGTGTTGTTGGGACTTAGAGACTAGGATTCTGAATATGGCTATTCATGTAGGACCTCAGGGGGTTTTAGCAAGTTATAGATTGAGTTACTACATTGTTTGGTTTGAAAAATAATTGATTTGTATTTTATGAAAACTGTTTTCATGCAGCTTGTGATATAGTCAGTATTGCGTGATAGCAATGTCAAGACTTTTCAGAGAAAAAGCACCACCTAATGGCCGATGGAATACCAGCCTAGTCTTGACAAAACAATATCTACAAACTCTGATTTCTGTGAACTTACGTAATATGCAGTGAATGTCCAGTATTAAATTATAGTCATCTGTCACTGTGTTTCACAGATAATCCCTGTTTTGTTGGGGTTTCTACTGATGCTACACTACTTGAATATTTGTATTATACAGTGACTTATTTGTTTATTTTTTTTAGAAGATTTATTTATTTATTTGAAAGAGTTACAAAGAGAGAGGCAGAGAGAGAGAGAGAAAGGTCTTCCATCTTCTGGTTCATTCCCCAAATGGCCATAATGGCCATAGCTGGGCTGATCTGAAACCGGGAGCCTAGAGCTTCTTCTGGGTCTCCCATGCGGGTGCAGGGGCCCAAGTCATGGGCCATCTTTTACTGCTTTCCCAGGCTGTAGCAGAGAGCTGGATCAGAAGTGCAGCAACCGGGACTTGAACTGGTGCCCATATGGGATGCCGACTCTGCAGGCGGCAGCTTTACCTGCTGTGCCACGGTGCTGGCCCCATTGGCTTTATTATAGATTTCACAGGGTATGGTGTTTCCTCAGTAACATTCTTGAGGTATGGCATTTTGCAAATGATTGATAATAGAGAGCTTCTGGGTACCCCAAACTTCAGCAGGAAAAGAGTTCTAGTGTTGATAAAATTCTCCATGAAGATTTATTCATGTATTAAACAGATATTTAGCAGCTGATATTCTACCCTTTAGAAGGCATAACAGATAAAGTTATCTGATAAAGTCCCATCCCTATGAGCTGTATTTTAGATGACTGGGGACAGGTAATACACACATAATCAAGTTATCTTCAGATAAGGAACAGTGTTGAAGGAAATTGAAAGGGTGATATGACAGAACACGACTAGGAAGATGTAGCTTATAGGAGGACCAGGAAAAGCCTCTCGGAGGAGGCGACATGAAGGTGATGAGGAATCAGCCACTCAGAGAGCTAGTAGAAGAATATTCCAGGGGAGGTCAGAGGCTTCAAGGCAGCAGTGAGAGTGATGGGCTTCAGCAGCAGCATGACGGCCCCTGCAAGGAGAGTATGGTGAGGTGGGGAATAGTGCCGTGAGGTCAGAGTGATAGTCAGGGCCAGAGCACTTTGTGCTTGCTTTGCAGTACAGTGAGGTTTTTTCCTTTTTTTCTCTGCAAATGCATTTACTTTTTTTTACTGTGGTAAAATATATATAACATAAAATATGCCATTGTAATCATATTTAAGTGTGCCATTTGGTGGCATTAATTAAACATTCACACTGTTGTTTAACTATCATTGTTCTGCAACCTTTTCATTCCCCTAAACAGAAACTCTGTAATATTAAGCAGTTAACTCCCCGTTTCCTGTTTTCTAAAGCTCTTTATGACCTCTAGTCTACTTTCAGAATCTGAATTCGTTGATTTTATACCATGTGTAAGTGAGGTTATATAAAGTTTGTCTTTTTCTTTTTTTTTAAAAGATTTGTTTGTTTGAGAGAGTTGCAGAGAGAAGTAGAGCCAGAGAGAGGTCTTCCATTCGCTGGTTCACTCCCTAAATGGCTGCAATGGCCAGAGCTGAACCAATCTGAAGCCGGGAGCCAGGAGCTTCTTCTGTGTCTCCTATGCAGGTGCAGAGATCCAAGCATTTGAGCCATCTTCTGCTTTCCCAGGCCACAGCAGAGAGCTAGATTAGAAGTGGAGCAGCTGGGACTTGAACCGGTGCCCATATGGGATGCCAGCACTGTAGATGGTGGCTTTACTTGTACACCACAGTGCCAGCCCCATGGGTTATATTTAGGTTGTTGATGCATTTTGAGTCAGATTTTGCATTTGGCTTGAAGTAAGGGTTCAGGATTCTTGGAAGTACATGAACTGGTATTGTTCTGCTTTGGGAGTCTGTAATGTTCTAAGTGAATACCATGGCCAGGAGGTTCCTCATAATTAGATCAGTTAGAGATAAAACCTAAATGTGTTAAATGAATACTTGTAGGAAAGGTTGATCTTTACTTTTATTTTTATTTCTGTGGAAGCAGTTCTGCGTTTTACTTTCGTAATTTTTTGGAAGAATGACACATCTATATAATTACTATGTAATCACAAATCTGTTTCTACTAACTGATAATGTTAATTCTCTTTTTTCCCAGACACAGTTTCCCAGAATTCTTCTTTGTCTTATGGTCATGAAGCACGAGGTACTCATCATTCCCAGAATCCCTCCCCAGGGAGCAGCAGCCCTCGGCCCTCCGTGGTTGGGCGTACAGGCCAGCGACCCAGAGGAGATGGCCAGGACTGGGATGCTGTGTCTTCCAGGTGACTAGTGACTGCGTCTGCAGGGAATTAGAAGTGCTTAGTTAACTTGTGTGTTTTGTGATTTCAGAAGGAGATAATTATTTTTCTCTGCCTTCTTTTTTGAAATATTACCATAGGGATATAGGCCTTGTGTTAAACCAAGGCTTTTGAACTTTTTTGACTATGACCCATAGTAAGTATCAATAAGTATTACATTGTAACTCAGTATTCAATATACACACATATAGGTACTCTATGTGTCTATGTATATATGTGTGTTTGTCTGCCAACACAAAATGTTCACAAAATAGTACTCTGATTCCATGCTGTATATAATGAACTATATTTTCTGTTCCTTCCTAGGAATGATGATTCTGACCACTGAATTTTTACCAGTTGTATGGAATATGATCTAGTTTAAAATCATAGCTTTAAGAGACATATAAGGTTTTATGGTATTTTTTAAAAGAATTATTTATTTATTTGAATGTCAGAGTTACACAGAAAGAGAAGGAGAGGCAGAGAGAGAGAGAGAGAGAGAGAGAGAGAGAGAGAGATATCTTTGATCCGCTGGTTCATTCCCCAATTGGCTGCAGCAGCCAGAGCTGCGCCAATCCAAATCCAGGAGCCAGAAGCTTCCTCCAGGTCTTCCCACATAGGTGCAAGGGGCTCAAGGACTTGGGCCATCTTCTACTGCTTTTCCAGGCCATAGCGCCGAGCCAGATCGGAAGTGGAGCAACTGGGACTTGAACTGGTGCCCATATGGGATGCTGGCACCGCAGGCAGTGGCTTTACCTGCTATGCCACAGTGCTGGCCCCGGCTTTATGGTATTTACACACATTTTTGTAAATCTAATCATGATTAGACCCATATGTATCTACTACTAAGATGAAAAATTGGAGAACATTTTTATGAAACAAGGGCTTCTTCAAGATGTATGTATAATTCATGTTATTGTGTGAATACAAATTTTCTTATTTCATAAAGGGATTGACATATTTGTGTGTTACTTTATTCTAGGCTACAAATATACTAGAAACATATTAATTTCTCCCTTACTGTCATTCTAAAAAATGTTCAGTAAGATGAACAGCTGTCTTTTGGCTTGATATTTTCTTGTGGTACTACAAGCTAACTGACTTGTGCTTGCTTTGGGTAGTGTTATGCTATGTACTTTGTACACTTTGTTTCCTTTAGTCATGCTCATCACAGTTCTATTGTAGGCCTGGCATTGTTATTATCATCATTTTACAGAAAAGCCACAAGTTTAGAGAGATTAAGAGCAATACAGGGCCTGTGCTGCGGTTCACTTGGCTAATCCGCCTGTGGCGCTGGCACCCCGGGTTCTAGTCCCGGTTGGGGCACCGATTCTATCTCTGCTGCTCCTCTTCCAGTCCAGCTCTCTGCTGTGGCCCAGGAGTACAGTGGAGGATGGCCTAAATGCTTGGGCGCCTGCACCCGTGTGGGAGACCAGGAGGAAGCACCTGGCTCCTGGCTCCTGGCTCCTGGCTTCGGATCAGCGCAGTGCGCTGGTTGTAGCGGCCATTTGTTGGGTGAACCAATGGAAATGAAGATCTTTCTCTCTCTCTCTCACTGTCTAACTCACCCTGTCAAAAAAAAAAAAAAAAAAAAAGCAATACCGTTGGTTAAGAGTGGAGCTGGCTTCTCTGCTATGACCTGGGAAAGCAGTAGAAGATGGCCCAAGTCCTTGGGCCCCTGCACCCATGTGGGAGACCTGGAGGAAGCTCCTGGTTCCTGGCTTCGGATTGGTGCAGCTCCTGGCTGTTGTGGCTATTTGGGGAGTGAACCATTGGATGGAAGACCTCTCCCTGTCTCCCTCCCTCTCTTTCCTCTCTCTCCTCTGTGTAATTCTGACTCTCAACTGAATAAAAAAAATTTATAAAAAAAAAGAGTGGAGCTGGCTTTGAGTAATATAATAGGAGAGGCTGTGCTATTATATTGTCATTAATTGATCAGTTTTGGGCCCTTTTAATGCCTTTCTCCCCCATTAGTAAATTACATGTTTGGAAGTTCTCATTTTTAAGATTTATTTTTTTGAAGTGCAGAGTTACACAGAGAGAGAGATCTTCTATCTGCTGGTTCACTCCCCAAATGGCCACTATGGCTGGAGCTGCTCTGGTCTGAAGCCAGGAGCCAGGAGCTTCCTCTCGGTCTCCCACATGGTGCCAGGGCCCAAGCACTTGGGCCATCTTGCACTGCTTTCTCAGGCATGTTAGCAGGGAGCTGGATCTGGAGCGGAGCAGCTAGAACACAAACCGGCGCCCATATGGGATGCTGGCATTGGCAGGCAATGGCTTTACCCATTGTACCACAATGCCGGGCCCTAAGTTTTCACTCTTGAGTGGCCCACTTTCAGAGTTTGAGAGAAGCTGGGATCATTTCCCTTCTTGGGATTCTTGGTATCTTGAATTTGAAGAAATGACAAGATAGATATAAGATTTGAGGAATTTTAAATATTCAATAGCATTAGTATATCTTTGTATTCAATTTTATTTGTATTTACATCAAAAGTAAAAATTTTTAGTTTCTGTTGGAGATCATTATGCTTAGTGAAATAAGCTAGACCCCCAAAGACAAATATCACATGTTTTCTCTGATTTGTGGTAGCCAATATATAGAGTATAAAAAAATTTAATGAATATGAGTGAAATCGACATCTTGGGGTTTGAGTATTATTTATAGCCCTTGTCTGCATTCCTGCTGAACAATGGTCTTTCCACTTTTTTCTTGTTTGCCTCTTTATTTAGTGGTGCATTAAGCCTTGATTAGAGAGTAAATTAAAAATGTTACTGCAAAAATTAAGAAAGGAGGGAAGGTGGGAGAGGAGGTTTATCATTATATTCTCAAAATTGTATTGATGAACTATTTGAAATCTGTTTTCTTTATATTAGTAAAAATATAAATTAAAAAGATGCCAATTAAAGCATAAACATTTTTGAGTTTATAAATGTGAAGTTAAGCCCTTTATGTTAATTTTTTTCTTTTTTTAATGATTTATTTTATTTATTTGAAGGGCAGAGTAGAGAGAGATCTTGGTTCATGCTGCAAATGGCTGCAATGGCCAGAGAGGTGCCAAACTGAAACCAGGTGCCAGGAGCTTCTTCTAGGTCTCCCTCCTGGGTGCAGAGACCCAAGCACTTGAGCCATCCTCTGTTGCTTTCCAAGGCACATTAGCAGGGAGCTGGATCAGAAACAGAGCACCCAGGACATGAACTAGCACCCATATGGGAGGCCAGCATCATTGCAGACAGCAGCTTTACCCGCTATGCCACAATGCTGGCCCCGCCAGTTTCATCTTTAACCCACCACTTTACACCCAAGGCAAAAATTTCTTAATGAAGAAGCCAAGGAAAATGAGATATTCCATATTTTGGAAGCATTTTCAAAGTAATTGTGTGTTGTCAAGTGTACTGAATAAAGTAATCCATGTGGCCTCCCTAGAATGTTTGGTGAAAATCACAGAAAATCCAACAAACTATATACATGTTGATTATAAATTATTATAAATCTGCTTGTTTTCATTTAGAAATATGTTATCATCATTAATGCTAACTGCTCCTAAAGGAACATTGACACATTTTGGGAAAAGCAGTTTGAAAAACAAAATTTAAATGCATTTGAGGGGCTGGCACTGTGGTGTAGCTGGTAAAAGCCTTCACCTGCAGTGCTGGCATCCCATATGAGTGCTGGTTCGAGTCCTGGCTTCTCCGCTTTTGATCCAGCTTCCTGGGAAAGTAGAGGAAGATGACTCAAGTCCTTGGGCCCCTGCACCCACTTGGGAGACCCGGAAGAAGCTCCAGGCTCCTGGCTTCTGATTGGCCCAGCTCTGGCCATTGTGGCTATTTGGGGATCAGCAGATGGAAGACTTCTCTGTCTGCCTCTGCCTCTCTGTAACTGCCTTTCCAACAGATAAATAAATCTTAAAAGTAAACAAATACATTTGAGTCATCTCTATGGCATTCAATCTCATAAAATCAGGATTTTTACAAATCTGACAAGAATTGTTGCATGAAAGTGTGGTTGTGATCAGTATGAGGCTTTTAATATGCCAAGTAGCAGACAGAGGATAATCTGTTTGAGGGTTGTTTCCATGTTCAAGGTTTTATCATTTTTAAAATTTGCAGTGGCGGTAGTAGTCATGCTCACATAAACTCCAGGATATCTGTCCATTCACCTTTGGATGCGGGACACATAGATCTGCCAGAGCTGGAAACTGAGGACACGTTGGAATTACGATTCCAGCAGCTTAGTCTTCCCCAGTTCTGCATCTCCATTCTGGAATCAGCACTTCCTCTCTTAAGAACAGGTTAGTTGTCTTTTGACATTGTAGTTCTTACACACTTGTGTTTGTTTAAAATTTTTCTCAGACTTTTCTTTCCTATATTAGGGCCTATATCATACTTTTAAAATTTATGTAATTGAAAAATAGACAGACACACACACACACACACACACATACACATCTTGCACCTGTTAGTTCACTTTCCAGATGCCTGCAATGGCGGGGGTTGGGCCAAGTCAAAGCCAGGATCTGGGAACTCAGTCTAAGTTTCCCATGTGGGTAGCAGGGACCAAAGTACTTGAGTCATTATTTGCTGCCTCTTAGTGTATAGTGCACATCTGCAGAAAGCTGGAATTGAGACACAGCTAGGATTTTAACGTCAGCAATCTCACACTGGATGTGGGTGTCCCATGTGGTGTCTTAAGCACTGTGTGGATGTCCACCCTTATTAGGTCCTTTGAAGTCTGTTACCTTTTGGGATAAAAATTTATAAGAACTCAATAAGGTTTTTATTATTAATTAAACATTTATGCCATGGAACGCTGTTCAAATGGTATTGATTTCCAATCAGGGTTTTCTTTGGCACAGGTTTCCTCGTTGTGTGGCTTTTTTAATTTTATTTATTTGAAAGGCAGAGTTACAGAGGGAGGGAGAGATCTTCCTTCTGCTGGTTCACTCCGCAGATGGCTACAATGGTAGGAGCTGGGCCCATGGGAAGCCAGGAGAGGGGCCCTAGAACTTGGGTCATTTTCTGCTGTTTTCACAGGTGCATTAGCAGGGAGCTGGATTGGAAGTCAAGCATCGAGGACTCAAACCAGCACATATATGGGATGCTGGTGCTGCAGGTGGTGGCTTTAACTGCTGTGCCACAGCACCAGCTCCTGTATAGCTTTTTTTTTTTTTTTTTTAAATTTAATTTATTTATTTGAAAGTCAGAATTACCCAGAGAGAGAAGGAGAGACAGAGAGAGAGGTCTTTCATTTGCTGGCTCACTTCCCAATTGGCTGCAACAGCTGGAGCTTTGCTGATCTGAAGCCGGGAGCCAGGAGCTTCTTCCTGGTTTCCCACACTGGTACAGGGGCCTAAGGACTTGGGCCATCTTTTGCTGCTTTCCCAGGACATAGCAGAGAGCTAGATGGGAAGTAGAGCAGCCGGGACTCAAACCGGCGGCCATATGGGATGCGGGCACTGCAGGTGGTGGCCTTACCCACTATGCCATAGTGCTGGCCCCTGTATAGCAGTTTTCAGCATAAACCCAGACAACATAATGCACTGGACAAAACCAGAGAAGGTTGACTGGTGTGAGTTGACCAGAATTTTAAAAAAATCATTGGCTTTTGTTGTTTAGAAACTTTCTGAATTGCTCTCAGTTCTTTACTCTTCCCATTTATATTTCCTGCCTAAGTCATAAAACATGTTAAGAGCAAATCCCCAAACCAGAATTCTTTGTAGTGATATGGTTTTTTTTCAACAAAAAGAACCCTCAAAGATTCTGGGGTTACTCAGTGTGCTAGGTAAATAGCAGTTACCATGTATTGAATCCTGCTGTGTTCCCCTATCATACTTTTCTGGGTATTGTTTGATGCTCTTCTCACACTGATTGATTTTATCTTTCTAAATAGTGGTGGTTACTAGTTCTGGTCCCCTTTTTACATGTGAGGAAATTGAGGTCTAGAGTGTTTTAGAAACTGAAATAGCTGAGAGCAAGATCTTGAACCAGAGTTCTGAATCTGCAGTCTGGGCTTCTGAGTACGTCAGCATTTAGCAAGGCAAAAGTTTAGAAGCAGTGATGCTTTGTATTTTTAAATGTACACATTTCCAGCAGCAGGTAAGCAAGCACGTTTTGCCCTTCTTAGTTCATATGGGTAAAATAAAAAATATATTTCATGTTAATGGTTGTGTAAGTCCTGTGGCTATTTTTTGCCTCTTGGTAGGTAATGGAAAGAAAAGCAGGATGAAGTACTTGAAAAATGTTGAACATTTTTTTGTACTGAGGAAAAATGTATACCTTACTTCTCACCAAGTGAATGACTGCTTCCAGGAGTTAGGACTACATATTAATTCACATGCTAATAATGTGAAATGAAGGAAGGTCTGAACTTTGGTATCATGAAGTATATGTTTATCTGCCTGGTGTACGGAGAAGCACTGTTTTAGACTTAATGATTTTGCATTTAACCTTTTCTTAATTTCCTGTGAAAAGTCAGATTGATCATTAGAAAGCTATTTCTTGGTACATAAACATTTCTAAATGTTCTCTTGCCCTTTTCTGTTAAATTATTGCCTAATTTGTAATTGTTCAATATCATAAGAGGTTTCTAGAGAACTTGCTCCAGCTGTTCTAATGAAAGAATTAATCTGGATCCTTATGATCTGGTCGTTTTACTTCTGTTCATTAGAAATCAACCTTTTGGATGGGAGACAGAAGTCTGTCTGAATGTTCACCTCACACAGAGTAGTGAAGCCTGGAGTTCCTGGTGACTCTGTCTGGAGGGGTGCTCTGGTGGCTGTGACTCTGGCAGCAGAGTTCTTCTGGAATTTTTTTGAACTTAAGACAAATGCAGATGGAATTTCTGAAGTGTCTTTGGCAAATGCCAGTGTAGATATTTATTGCTTTAGTTACTCCAGGAAAGCTGTTTCCTAGGCAATTCCTGGGTCGGAAAATACTAATTTCTGATGAGTCTTAATCTTTCATGTACTAAATAGTTTTCTACAATTTCTACAGTTTCTACAATTTCTACAATTTCTACATTTTCTACAATTGTTAGGTGCTTTGTTACATATTAAGTATAACAAGATGGTCCTGAATTTGAGAAATTATTTTAATCTAATCTAGCTCTTGTTTTTTTTTCTTTCTTTTCTTTTTTTTTTTTTTTTTATGACAGGCAGAGTTAGATAGTGAGAGAGAGAGAGACAGAGAAAAAGGTCTTCCTTCTATTGGTTCATCCCCCAAATGGCCTCTATGGCCGGCGCACCGCGCTGATCCGAAGCCAGGAGCCAGGTACTTATCCTGGTCTCCCATGCGGGTGCAGGGCCCAAGCACTTGGGCCATCCTCCACTGCACTCCCGGGCCACAGCAGAGAGCTGGCCTGGAAGAGGAGCGACCGGGACAGAATCCGGCGCCCTGACCGGGACTAGAACCTAGTGTGCTGGCGCCGCAAGGTGGAGGATTAGCCTAGTGAGCCGCGGCGTTGGCCACTAGGTCTTGTTTTTTTTAGATAGGTTATTGCTGCTATCTTTTTTAAAAAAATTTTCTTTGAGATAGAGGGAATGAATGAATGAATGAATGAATATGAATATGAATGAACCAGTACGAGGCTGCTGTGTTTGCTGGTTCACTCCCTAAATGCCTGCAATGGCCTGGACTCTCCTGGTGCTGAAGCTGGGAACTGAAAACGTAATCCAGGTGTCCCACATTGGTGGCAGGAGCTCAGTTACTCGGCCTGTCACCTGCTGCCTCCTAGGTCTGTATAGCAGGAATCTGGAGTCAGGAGCTGGAACTGGGCATTGAACCCTGGCACTCTGATATGGGATGTGGTCATCTTAATCAGTGTCTTAATTGCTAGCTAGATGCCTGTTGTGCTGCTTTACTCTTGAGTATCTTTTCTGCATATGAGTGAATTTGATTTGTTGTAATCAATTAGTAATATGACTGAAGAGGGAGAGAGGGAAGGAGAGGGGAATTTTGGGGTATATCTAACTAGAGTATTGAATTGAGCTGATTATTTGAAAGTTAAGTAGCTTTCTTTTTTTATTCCCTTATCTTCCTCCTGTTTGTTTTCCTAGGTAGTAGACAGATGATAATTAGAGTTCTGGAATTGCTTGCAGATGATATGATACTTATTGGTGAAGCAATTTCATCAGATATCTGGGATGACAGCAGCCTTTTTGCTATAGATATGGTAAGAATTAATGTTTTCTTGGATAATAGTGTTATTATTTTAGCATATTTTTGTTCTTTTGAGATGGTTTCATTGTCTCATTAGTCTTCAAAGGAGTTTGTTTTTTTTTTAAACACTTATTTCAGGCTTATTTTGGACATGTTCTGAAACAGGCCATTCTCCAGAATTCTGGTTGCACGACTTGTTCAGTCATTCATTTTTTAATGGACATGTATGTGGGTTGTTTCTAGATTTTAGTTATTACAGGTAGGATCCTATGGAGTGTTCCACATTTCCTCTGACATTTGGTATGTTCAGGTTTCTGTTTTTTCTTGTCGGACAGTCTGATATATGTGTAAGGGTATCTCTAGTTTTAATTAACATTTCCCTAGTGACCAAAGATACTGAACATGCCTTGTAGTTTTCAGTGAATAAATCTGAGTATTCTTTTTCTTATTTACAAGATCATTTATTGAAGTCTTATTAGCAAAAGACGCCAACAGAAGAAACATAAAAACGAACAAAGAGCTATAGGGGAGTAGGTGGTAAAGTCATTGCTGTCTTCCCACGAAGGTATTTTTTTAGATATTGAAAATAAAGGGGTAGCTTGTCACAATTGTCTTTTTTTTTAGACTTATCCCTAAGTATTTTTTTTTAATACTGTTGTGAATGAAAATCCTTTTAATGTTTCATTTTCTGAATTTTTAATTTTAAGTATAGAGAAATGCAGTTAATAATTGTGTTTTAATCTTCTGTCCTATGACTTTGCTGAACTTATTAATTGTGGTAGTATTTTCTTTTTTTATTGGTAGATTCCTTAGGATTTCATTCATAGAGAGTCATGTAATCTTTGAATTAAAACAGTTTTAGCCTTGTTTTCTGTGAATAAAGAGTTTTAGTTCTTCCTATTCATCTGGATACCCATTAATTTCTTTCTATTTCCCAATTTCCATGTCTAGAACCTATAGTAAAATGTTGGGTAGATATGATAAGAACCTCATTCCTGATCTTAGAGAGGAAGCATTTGATTTTTTGCCATTAAATGTAATATTGAGTCTAGGACTTTATAGATGTCTTTATGAAGTTGAAGATATTCTCTGTATTCTTTTTTTCTTTTCTTTTTTTTTTTAAGATTTATTTGAAAGAGTTATACAGAGAGAGGAGAGGCAGAGAGAGAGAGGTCTTCCATCCGTTGGTTCACTCCCCAGTTGGCTCCAATGGCTGTAGCTGTGCTGATCCCAAGCCTGGAGCCAGGAGCTTCTTCCTGGTCTCCTATGTGGGTACAGGGGCCCAAGGACTTGGGCCATCTTCCACTGCTTTTCCAGGCCACAGCAGAGTGCTGGATTGGAAGTGGAGCAGCTGGGACTTGAACCGCCACGCATATGGGATACCGGCGCTGCCGGCGACAGCCCCACTTGCTAGCTGCAGTGCTGTCCCCTCTCTGTATTCTTAATTTGTTGAATTTTTTTTTATCATAAATGGATGTTGGATTTTTTCAGACCTTTTTCTGCATCTGTTGAGATGATCATTTAGTTTTTCAAAGAGCAGAAGTTCTGAATTTTGTCAAGGTTCAGTTTCTCAGTTTTCTTTTTATGGATTGTGCTTTTGATATTATATTTAAGAAATCTTTGCCATCTGGAGCATATAGATGTTTTCTTTTTCTTTTTCTTTTTTTAGATTATTTTCATTTTATTTGAAAGGCAGAGAGAGAGAGAGAGAGAAATCTTCCATCCACTGGTTCACTCCCCCAAATGCCTGCAATAGCTGGGTCCAGGCCAAGCCAGGATCCTAGAACTCAGTCTGGGTCTTACAGGTGGGTGTCAGGGACCCAAGTTCTTAAACCATCATCTGCTGCTTCCTAGCTTGTGTGTTAGCCAGGGACTAGATCAGAAATATAGGCGCTGGGACTCAGACCAGGCCCCCTGATACGGGATGTCGACCTGCCAGGTACATTTACTTCTATGATGAATTTTGTGCAATGTTTTTTTAAAGATTATTTGTTTGAAAGTCTAAGTTACAGAGAAAGAGGGAGAGAAACACAGAGCGAGATCTTCCATCTGCTGGTTCACTCCCCAAGTGGCTGCAATGGCCAGGGCTGAGCCAGGCCGAAGCCATGAATCAGGAGCTTCATCTGGGTCTCCCAGAAGGTGGCAAGGGCCCACTTGGGCCATCTTCCACTGCTTTTCCCAGGCCATTAGCAGGGAGCTGGATTGGAAGTGGAGCAGCTGGGATACGAACTGGTGTCCATATGGGATGATGGCATTGCAGGAAGCAGCTTTACCAACTACACCAGAGTGCTGGCCCCTGTTAATATATGGTACAAGTAAAAATTCAAAAAAATTTTTTTTTGACAGGCAGAGTTAGGCAGTGAGAGAGAGACAGAGAGAAAGGTCTTCCTTTTTCCGTTGGTTCACCCCCCAAGTGGCCACTACCGCCAGCGCTTTGCGGCCGGCACGCTGCGCTGATCCGAAGCCAGGAGCCAGGTGCTTCTTCCTGGTCTCCCATGCAGGTGCAGGGCCCAAGGACCTGGGCCATCCTCCACTGCCCTCCCGGGCCACAGCAGAGAGCTGGCCTGGAAGAGGAGCAACCAGGACAGAATCCGGCACCCAACCAGAACTAGAACCTGGTGTGCCGGCGCCACAGCTGGAGGATTAGCCTAGTGAGCCGTGGCGCCAGCCAAAATTCAAATTTTTTTCAAAAATTTTTGAATATAGATAAACAATTATTTCAGCACTATTTATTCAAGTGACTGTGCTTTTGTTCCTAAATTTCCTACCAACTGCCCTGCTTATATATGATTTTATTTCTGGAATGTATCCCAATGGTCCATTTTCTCTAATACCAATACTCAACTCTTGTAATTATTGTAGCTTAGAAGTTTTGAAGTCAGGTAGTATAAATTCTTCAACTTTTTCTTCCTTTTTAAAGTTGTTTCAGGTCCCCTACATTTCCAACATGCATCAACTTGTCAGTTTCTACCAAAAATGCCTGCTGTGATTTTGAATGCAGTTACGTTGAATCTATATCAGTTTGGAGAGAACTGACAGCTTAACCATATTGAGTGTGCTGATCCATGAACACCAGATCTCTACATATTTAGCTCTTTAATTTCCCTGAGCAGTATCTTGAAGTTTTCTCTAAGTGTTTCAGTGTTAGGTCTTTTTAATTGGATTTTCCTGCTGTTTATAGATGTTCATATTTGATATTTTAGTAATTTCTGATTAACTTCTAGCCATTCTGAATATTAATTTGTTAAATGATTGCTTTTTAAATTTTCTTCTTTTACAATTGGATTTTTTTTGGATCTCCAGCAGATTTATTAAATTATTTTTAAAAATATATTTATTTGAAAGTCAGAGGGAGAGATACAGATCTTCCATCCACTGGTTTACTCCCCAGATGGCTGCAACAGCTGTGGCAGGGCCAGGCCAAAGGCCTGGAACTCCATCTGGGTCTCCTACATAGGTGACGGGTGCCCAAGGTCTCCTACATGGGTGACGGGTGCCCAAGAACTTGGGCTATCCTTTGCTTCTTTCCCAGGTGCACTGGCAGTAAGCTCTATCAGACGTTGAGTAGCCAGGACTAGAACTGATGCCCATATGGTATGTACATGTCACAGGCAATGGCTCAACCTGGTATGTCACAACACCTACCCCAGATTTACTTTTCAAAGGATGAATTAACAACATCAACAACAAAAGGGCAGACGAGAATAGAATAGAAAATAAATACAAATATAAGCTCTTTGGGTAATTGTTTTATAACCGCAACAAGATAGTACAAAGGGTGCTGTGTACAAAATACAATAAAGGTTCAAAGATTGAGGTGCTCATTTAGCAAGGCTGAAGATTTTCCTCTGTGGTGATTGGAGTTTAGATTGCAGTCCTTGTGTTTGGTTGGGTCACTGGGTTTGTGGCATAGGCAAGGCTTTAAACCTGATTTGAATGAAAGAATGGCCACCTGGCCCAGGTAGTAGTAGAGGAAGTGTTTGGTTTGGTGTCATAACTACCAAAGTTCCTTCCCACAATGTAGTGCAAGTGGGGTTGTGCTTATTGTCTTGTACTTAATTCTTAACAGGGGCTGCAGCATCCTTTTGTGTTTCTCTGATGCCTGAGGTGCACACTCCACCGTACTGTCGTCTGTTCTGCCGTGTTCTGTTCTGGTCATCACCTTGCGGTTGCAGTTGGTTCCTACACTTGATTACCTTGGAGCTGGGCTGGCTGATGGGGCTAGTCTTCTGGGAAAGGTGCTGCACCTCTCATGCAAATAAAATTGTTTATTTGAAAGGCAGAGAGAGAGAGAGAGAAAGAGATAAATATCTTGATCTTCCACCCACTGTTTTATTCTCCAAATGCCCATAGCAGTTGGGGCTGGATCAGGAGCCACAGACCCCAGCTGGGTCTCCCATGTGGGTGACAGGTATCCAAGGACTTGAGCCTTATTTGCTGCCTGCAGGAACATTAACAGGAAACTGGATTGGAAGCAGAGTAGCCAGGACTTGAACTAGGCACTCTCATATAGGATGTGGTTATCCCTAGCAGGGTGACAACTTAACGTACAGCATCACACTTGTTCCTGGGTTCTGTTTTGACAGGTTCTGAAGTACCTGTGGAACAGTTTCATTTATTCAAGTCTAAGTTTTGTTGGTGTGGATCCAGGGCAGTGTTTTTCAATTGGGAGCACTTTTACTGGGGACATTTTGACTGTCTGGAGACAGTTTCGGTTGTCACACCTGGAGTGCTGGCAATGGCATGTAGTGGCCAGCTCTTCACAATAAAGAATTTTTGGTTCAAGATGTCAGTGATGTTTAGTTTGAGAAACCCTGATCTCAAGTAACTTTTACTGGGAGTTAAACTCTTCCTGCAGTGTGACCCTCTGGGACGTCTGCCGACTGGCTGACTGAAGCTTGAGTCTCTTATTGTGCTGTGCGAGCCCTGGGACTTGTTCTCTTTAAATCACAGTGGTCATTTTTGGCATTTATGGAGTTTCTGTCTATAACATGAGCTACCAGCTTCAGCAAG